CTTAAATTGCTACAAATATATATATCTATATATTTTAATTTAGATGAGATGAGGAGAGAACGAGAGTTTTACAAAAGCCGAAATATCCCATGTCCCAAGGATATGCCACAGAATCATGAAGACGACGAAAAAATGTTAGAAGCACACGCAGAATCTGATTTCCATCGTCTCGACGAGCAGGTGAATGTGAGCCTTGAATGTATGAGCAACAACTTTAAAAATTTGCAGCGGCGTTTCATTCGCTGTAGCTCCCAAGCAACCATAACGCACTTAAAAAAATTAGTTGCCAAGAAAATCTTGAATGGTATAGACAAGTATCGAGAGGTATGTATTTCACATTTTTTCCAATCCTGATGAATGTGTTTTTATGTACATACACAGCTCGAACCAATTTTATAGGTTTTTAAAAAAAAACTAACACTACGTTATCAGATTTGTTCTAACAACCTTAAGGATAAAATACTAATATTCGCACAAGTTAGAATTATCTATGCGGGAAGAAAAAGCCCAGTCAATTTCTAATGCTGGATTTCCACTAGGCATTAAATGGCAAAAATGACGAATGACAAAGTCGGGCATTAAAAAATAATCGTGTCATTACATTCAAAAATAATCATTAAGTTCATTTCCACATGGCATTTTTTTAAATGATATAAATTTTTTGTCATTTCAATGCCTAGTGGAAATTCGGCATAACACAAAGCATTTCGATTTTTGGAAAAAAATGGAAATTCATAAAAAGTTAGTGCGTTTTTGAATTCGTCTTAAATTTCTACTGAGAAAATAATATTTTTTACCGAGGTTCGTTACACTCAAGTCCATGAACCAATTAGTTGTGTAGTTGAATCATGCTCAAGTCTAATTTGTGGTACTTCAAAATTCTGAGTTTATTCGAGCAACAGTTAATGCGGTACTGTTTTTTTTAATGGAAAAAACATCACCTTCTGATGTAATTATTACGTAGTTCTAAATAAAGTTGCTGTTCATAATTTACATTTTCATTTCCATGGCGTTGCCCATCGGCAACCCAACTGAGGTGACGCTGCCATCCATATTCGACCCATTTTGCTCTATGCGAAATTTTACTAATTTTATGGCTACAATGCAGATGTAAAAATATCATTTGTTTCATTGATTAGCACACGCTTTGGCAAAAATAAATAGTTTACTAATATTATTGTGGCGAAATAATCACACCTGTGCTGGAATTCAAATTTTTTAAGCTGCGAATTCGGTCCTCCGCTCCGCAACTATCCACCGCATTGCCATCCAAAAACAGCAACTTCTATGTTCTTAATCAACTGTTTTGACACAAATGAATACATTCCCACGACAGCCGATTTATATATTGAAATGACACGGATTTTACCCCACAAAGGACTGTTGCTTAAGACTGTTTAGGTTGGCAAAAATTATCTTAAAGGTTGTTCGTCCTTGGGCTGGCACCGAGTCTAACCCTGCACTAGGAACCTGATCATGCTGCGTATGCCAGAAAAGTTTACACCCAAGCTCTAATTCAGTTTGGTGCAATACCTGCAATGGAAGGAGTCACCTTAAAACCTGCTCATGCCTCTAAATTGACCGACAGTGGGCCACGTCATTTGGTGCCCCGTGTTGCTCAAACTTAAAGGAAGGGCCATTACACAATTGGACAAAATATACCTAAGGTCGTAGTGGATAGCCTCTAACAATCTATCTTAGGACCATTACCCCAGTAGCAATACAGCAAGCACAACAAGCAGTTCAGGTAGCGCGCCAATACTCCCTCACCCCGCGAATAACCATCTCTAACCCAGCTTAATAAAACTACTGGAGTCCAATTGCAACGGACTCTAAAGCAAGATAACTGAGATCGTCAATCTCATGATGCGCAACAAAATCTCAGTCGCGGCGGACCAGGAAACCGAACTCCACTCCGGCTCAAGCCCTCAGAGTCAGGATGAGTTCACCGTCATCCGAAGACATCGCACTCGCGGCGCCGCGAATTGTTGCCAACGTTACCTCATTGAGTGCCAAGGTTTGGCAATCAAGTCGGGAAATACTGAGCTTGAAGTCGTCAACGTGTACATACCACCTACCACCAGCTGCCCAGCAGGATACCGCCCAAACATAAGTGCGCTACTTAAAGGCGATTACCAGGTAGTGCCAGAGGATTTTAACGCGCGGGGTACACTGCTGGCTGAACAACGTTTTGCACTTTGAACGAAGATGCTCCACCATGGCCGCGGAAGACTGCTGCAGCTCGCCAGACATCATAATAGCCAGCATGGGTCTGATAAATTGCATTGGATGGCAACCAGCCCAGCAAAAAATCGGTAATTGCTTTTAGTGGTAACGTGTTCTAGAAGGCATAGCGTTATAATGCCTTCGAATTTTTTCGCTTCTTTTAGGCATTGTCGGTAATGCAAAGTAGAATGTCCTACAATATTTTATTTATTTCGCTTTATTGTTTCATTTTGGGGAATGCAAAGTAGAATGTCCTATAATATTTCTTTCTTAATTCGCTTCTTTGCTTCATTTCAGGGAATGCAAAGTAGAATGTCCTACAATATTTTATTTTTTTCACTTCTTTGCTTCATTTCAGGGCATGCAAAGTAGAATGTCCTACAATATTTTTTTTATTTCGCTTCTTTGCTTCATTTCGGGGAATGCAACGTAGAATGCTGCATCGTAGTCAGCTGAAAAATAGAATGAATATCCAAAAAATCTTTTCCTACCGTTAGTTTCTGTAGAAATTTGTCTCGCATAAAAATCATGTTTTGCTTTGTTCAATTTGCAGCGAAGTTGAAGTCAGTCAATGAAGTGAAGTACATGAGTGAGAAAGTAGAATTTTAAGCTTTATTAAATATGCATGTATGTACATACCGATTTTTAACATAAATACTAAACATAAATACATAAATATGTTTGTATAAAAAATGATTTATACAAATTTTAATTAAATTTAATCTTTTAAGACATTTTCTGATATAATATAAATAAGTATGTACTCATCTGGGCATTCTACATTAGTTTCTCTGTAAGGCATTCTTTGTTCGCTTCTCTGGATTCTGTTTATCCATGCGTTCTCGTTTCGTTTGAAGGTAATGCTGCGGGTAAGGGCTTACCGCCAATGACATGCCCATGTTAAAATAAGGCCTTCCTGAAGCGAAAGGGTAAGCGATTCCCATCGCCTAGCTCGTTTCCACATTCGTTTCTATGGTAATCGTGTTTTTTGCTGGGAGTGCTCACGCTCGCATATGACCACCTGCGCATAGTAAGCCGCTATAGTCCATCCAAGAGAGAATACGTACATGAACACCATGAGGGCCAACTGGGACGGTTTTTTTGCAGAACACAGACTGCAAATTCAACGCTCTTCCACCACCACATGCGCGCGCTTCATACCAATAGGATCGCCAAAATCCGGCCGGGCTTCCCAAAATTGGCAATACAACAACGTCGGATCCCGGACGTGCGCGCGCTTATTCAGCTTATTCATTGCACACTCGGAGAGAAGCAAAGCCCGCCGCAGTGTGCTAGGTGAAGCACACAAACTGTGCCTCCGAGACATATCAACGTGCTTCACACCAGAAGAGACGCAGGCAGCTGTAAAAAACGCCAAAGCATCCAAGGCGTTGGGCCGTGACGGAATCTCCGTGCAGATGCTGAAAAAGCTAGGACCTGCGGGAGGCGAGTACATCACAGCTGCTTTCAACTTGTCACTGTCCACCCTAATTATCCCGGAGATGTGGAAATGAGGTAGGATCATTCCCCTCCTTAAGCCAGGGAATAAGATGGCCGCAGGAGACTTTCCGGCCAAGCATTCGACAAAGAATTCCAAAACGCCAAGTCAAAGCCGCGTAGGATTAAGCAGGGGCTCCTCCAAGGCGGCGTACTCTCCCCGACACTGTTCAACATCTGCATGGCGAAAGTCCCTCCGCCGCCAGCTGGGGTTAACTTGGTGGGCTACGCCAATGATTGCACGATTATGGCAACGTAGGCCAACATTGACAGCCTTTGCGGCAAAATCAAAAACTATCTCACCGATCTTGCAAACTTCTTCACTGCCAGAAGGCTCACCATCTCCGCCGCGAAATCCACCGCCACACTTCACCACCTGGATTAAGAAGATTAGGCTGGAACTGGACGTCCATGTCGATGGCCACAGAATACCGACGGTCAACCATCCCAAAATCTTGGGAGTCACGTTCGAATGACTATTTTTCAGCGCACGCCTCAGCCAATGGGAAAAAATGGGAGCTAGGAACAAATCCCTCAAGTCACTAGCCGGCAGTACTTGGGGAGCCGTGTTATGTAGTTGCCTATTTGCGTCAGGCGAGGCGGCATGCAGGCATGCTTGCAACCCAAGCTAGCTCGTAGTCGGGGTGGGACATTTGTGCCTGCCTATCTGTCAACTAAATAAACTAAAAAATATATTCCAACCTGATAGTGCGGGAAGAGAAGATGGTCATAGAGGAGATAAAGAACAGACAACAAAACAGGATTCATAGGCTAGTCCCGTCCTGTCAGGCGGAGTCAACCCTCCCTTCTTCTGCATGAACTTCACGTGAAGCCTTGGGCGCTGTTGTGACTCCTCACCTTTCTTAGCAATGCCCCTTAACCTGACATAAGTCCGTCTGGTCATCAGTCAGTCATTTCCAAGTTCTCCGTCATCGAGTGTCCACTCCCACTAGCCCTGCGTTGTCAAAGCGACACATCCACACCAAACTATTGTGCTCAGCACTCCTGAATTCAGCTTATCCTTTTTTTAACTCTTCATAATCTTAGCTTATCTACTATTTTTAACACTATGGACATTTCTTTCTACCACTAATGCTAACCAGACACCATCAATTCATAAACAAATTTTGGTTTTTAATTTTACCTCTTATTGCCTATTAATCCTAAGGACTTCTCCTATTTTTCTACCAATACCCTAATCCCTGAACAAAAGCAATGAATCGAACATAAATCAAGATTTAATTTTATACCTTATTTCCTATTAATTCCAAAAATCTAATTTTTAAATTATCTTTTTTCCTTTTTTTTGTACCACCCTAATACATATTTTCCCCTACTTAAATGTATGTAAATACATATTCACTAACAATGAATTATAACCTTCTATTTTGCTCTTTCTGTAAATAACACTTTGACCTCAATGATAATTCAGTATTACAACAACAAAAGAAAAAAACGGCAAAGATTGGTATAATTTACGTAGATGCATATATCCAACGGGCCTGTATATATATATATATATATATATATATTAGACTGCATCACCAAAATATTTCGGAAAAATATTAAGATTTAAACGAGCTGGCCCGATTTGAAAATAC